GTGGCAAAGTCCTTCCACTCCTGCTTAAGGGAAAGTCACAATCTACCTCCTGCTCCACTGAGCCCTTCTTCCAGCACCAGGTGTATCCTCACACACCTTCCCATGCAGCCTGTGGCCAGGTCTAGACTTCCCATGTAACAGGACTGACCATCACTTACACCACAGAAGCATGACCAAAACTCAGCTACACCTGCATGCCAAGACCTTCCAAAGGAAGCTGCTGTGGACAGGCAAATGTTCCTTTTCTCCTGCTATGTCCCAACCTGCTGCAGGCCTCTCTGGTTTACCCCGAGCTACTGTTTACTTCAAACTGGATTCACAAGCAGAAATGATAGACCAGAATCCCAGTCACCAGTCACTCTCCCTCACTAAGCTTGTGCTGTTAAAACACAGCCTCTTGCCTGAACTTACTTTCTCCATCAGGGAAGATTTGCTCACAAAATGCCTCTGTGTTGGGTTTGTTTTACTGAAAGGGAAAGCAACTTCTCACACGTGCTTTGCATACATCAGTGACTAAAGATGGTGAGAGAGAGCAATTCCAGTCTAAGGATTTAATAAAGTATTCCATGGTGAAAGCTGGAATTGGAAGGAATTTCTGCCTTACCATGACACTGCTAGGAATCACACAGCCCAACAGCAACAAGTTACTTGGTGTGCTGAGTACTTGCAGCCCTACCCTCATATTCACAAACGTGACACTTTGCAGTTTTCCACTTAGTTTATCTTAACCACATATACACCACCGAGGTCTGGAGCTGGCAGAGTACAACATAAGTGCTTCATTTTAAACACAAGCACACCCCAAAAATTAAGCATGTGCTCAAATCGAAATGGTCTCTGGGAAATAGTTTTGTTAGTCATTTCACCCCCTACTCAAACACCAGAAGCTCTCTCAGAAACAGACAGACTTTCCTCAGAGCACTGTGGGAGGCTTTTCATTTTAAAAAAATAGCTGATGTCTCACACAGGAAAGTTTCTCTTCAAGGATTGGCAAACAAAATTCCCAAAAAGATTTAAGAGGAAGCAACAGTTTTCATTGGAAAACACTGGACATGAATGCAGTTCAGTGCTCCAGAGTGTGACTTAGTCCCAAACTCAGGATCACCAGCCAGAAGTAACTCCCTGTGCCACAGACTGAATGTTGACACAGGAGGTTGTGCAACAGATATTGTGAATTTCTGTGTAAAAACATTAATGACAGAATTATTAAGGGACTCACAGTTCTGTCTCACATTCAAACTCAGACTCAGGCTGTGACCCCCAGGTATGTTACACATGCCAAGGACTGTTGGGAGAAGGTTGAGGATTTGGCTTTGGCTTGGAGAAAGAAAAGAGTTACCTGAGACTGCACAGTGGATTCAAACACAGCCTATCACACATGAGGGGATTTGTCTCACAAAAATATATGAAAAGATAATACATTTGTATCACTTTTCAGGATCTCATGAAGCAAATGGGAACACAAGAGTTAATTTGCTATAAAATACAATTCATGGTAACTATGAACACTTCACACCTTTGTCCCAGGACTTGCACATCTCAGCTTTTACTCCTAGGATGGCAGTGTAAATATACTCACCTTCTGCTGCTCAATTATGAAGAACAATCAGCTGGGTTTGAGCAGACAAATCACAACTCATTTCTTCAATTAAGAACTTGTGGTTAGACTCCCAGAAGTGCTGCAATAAATAGCAGCTTTTGGAAACCACATTGAACTTGCTTAACAGCTCCCTCTTGTAAGGGCATCAGCTGCTTTTTACTTGCTTAACAGCTGATAATTTGGATCCTCTTTGTATGACAAAACCAGTTTCATTTCCTTACGGCTCAAGCCTTGTCAGAATTGGAACATTGTGATAGTTCTGTCTATTCAAAGTCAAGTCTAATGGACATAACACTGCCAGAGTGTAACAAAAAGCAATGTCACCCTGGAATGCTAAGGAAGGTGGGGGTAGGGGAAGGCTTCACCCAAATTTGCCAGGTGAGGCTGGAGGACTTCAGGTGGCCTTGCCCCTTCCTTACTTACTTGTGAAGATAGCATGAGCCCTTAAAGTGAGCATGGCACTTCTGCATCATCCAACAGAGGAGAAACTATTCACCACTCACTACCAAGAGAGCCATAAAGCTGGTTAATAAAAATAATAAATATCAATGCATTAGAACAAAATTGTTTGGGTATTAACCTCACCTTCCTCTATTTTCTGCACCTTAAAAGAAAAAGTGCTTCAGACCTTAAAAAAGGATATTTTCACATGATTAATAGGGATTCTTTCCAACTGAATAGTGGTATCTGCTACCCATTTTCTCTCTACTGGTTACTGGTCTGTGAATGTGGAGCCATATTTATGTGTTTGTTGAGTTGTATTCCAAGAGAAAGTTTTACCCAAGAGAGTTTTAAGTGAAAGAGCACAGGAGAACAGCACATTTTCAGTGTGGCTCTGTGTGTGACAGTTGGTCTGCATGGCAGAAAATGCTGTTTATCACAGGCTTGGCCCAGGTGAGACTCTGAAAAATTTCTCCCTGTCATTACAGTTCTCGACTTAACATTTCAGCCATTCCAGTGTTTGGAAACACCCCAAATATTATAATTTTCCAACTTATAAGCACTAAATAGGAAAGACAAAGGTTTTATTTTAAACATAGTCAGTTTCAAAAACAAACAGTAACTTCAACACAGTCAAACACAAAGTGCTTTCACACAAAGCAAGTTATATCCTGCATTTGTTTGTCATTAAAATAAGTTTAACAAAGCAAGTGACTCTGGCACATTCTGCAGATAGTTCCATACACAAGAGAACAAACACAGGCTTTGTGCTTAAGGAAATTTAAGTTTAGAAGGGGCAGCAAAAAGCTTTGCAGAATGCTGACTCAGATGGAAGAGCTGCCAGCATTATGTGTCCTGTTCTCGATCCATACAAGGAATGTAAAGAGAAGCAATGGACTGTGAATATAAATCAAACAAAGGAAACACTTTTTTGTTTTAGTCAGTGTTCTTTTCTTCTCCATTCTGGTACCACCACCTCAGATTTTGCAGCCATCACTTTGGAGAGAAAAGGGGAGCTAAGGGAATAACAACTGGAAAACTTACTCACCAACTGAATATATGGCAGGATTACCCAGACCAGACTGACAGGGTACTGGAAGAACCAAAAATCCTCCTAACCACACTAGCAAATAGCAAGTTTGGAAAAGCTGCAATACTTCACTGCTTTTTCCTGTCTTGCTGTGATGATAAATTGCCAAGAACCACATTTCCTGGGACATCCAGTGGGGGAGTGCTGCTTTCCACTGACACACGACTTGCTTATGTCACCAGAACAGAAAATTCAATGCAGCATCACCCAGGCCCTGCCAGAGCATGGAGAGCAGTGGTGCAGCACATGCTGGTGCTGCATCATCAGCACAGAGAGCTACAAACCTACCAGCTACTTATTTCCATCATTCTCTTGCCAGTTAGCAGCTATTGATGTAAATTCTTAGGGTATGAGGAAACACATGATCAGAAAACTTTTCCAAATGCACAAGGAAACTCTTCAACCACTTGCACACTGACTCACAACCAGCAGCAGCTTACAAAAACTAATGAACACGAGGCCTAGAGGTTGTATGTGATCTACAGAGTTCCTGGATTTCAAACAGGAAGTGTTGAAAGACTTCTGAAAAACTAAGTTATATCAAATATCTACAGAAGGCACATTTGGGAAGAATAATAAATGCAGTGGTTTTTATTGGTATTTCTTTCAGCTTTCTGCTTGTACATAGATCAATACAGTGTTAGCATCACAGCCTTGTTCAAACACCTGTCTGCATTTCTGGCTGGGAATCACTCAAATGCATCAGGATGTTGTTTGATCAAGTCTGCTGTTTATGACATGTAAAATACTTGAACACCTCACTCCCTATCTTTTTTGTGATCATCATCTTAAATAAGCATATCCAACTTAAGTTTCTGAAAACACAACTTCTGTCATTTAGAAAAATCAAGAGTACAAGTCTAAATAATCATCAGAGAAACTCCTTAACAAATATGTTACCTTCTTAATAAAGAAACAGTAATTAACAAGCAGAGCAACAGAAGAAAAAAAAAAAAGCCCAGGTCCTTTATCTCTGTTTTTTCAGGTGGAATTCAAGCCTTCAGATAAGGCTGAGCTTTGTTTGTGATGTATCAGCTGATGCAGGTCAATGTACCAGGAAGTTCACCAAAGCTGTAACCAAGGCTCTCTGGGTGTTTCCAACGGGGTGGAGCAAAGAGAACACTTCACAGACTCTCAACTGGCAGTAGAAAAACTCCAGCCAAACAAAAACCACTGAACAAGTATCTGCTAAGAATTCTTGTGTGTACAGCTTACTGCAGGTTAGTGATATGCCCAGACTTGTAACAGGCAAAATTCAGATATTGAATCACCACTGATGCACAATAACCTGAGTCATCCATTCAGTAAATGACCTCCAAGAAGGAAGAAGCCTTTAGGTGTGGTTCTCTTCCAAGGAAGAAACTTTGGAAGTGAATTCTAGCGCTCATGAAAAGGTGCCAAGGAATCACTTCTTTTGTCAAAGAGGGGCACCCATCTCTGAGGCAACTCCCTGCCAGTTTGTAAACAGCGCTGTGCCAAAGCATCACCACCAAGTATGAGCCCAAACAATTCTCCACAAACATCAGTCCATGCTGAGACTGTAAGAAGCACAACGTGCAACACGACTGAGACCAGAGCAACCGAAGAACATCACCAGCCTGTTTTGCATAAAGCAGAAAGGGGAACATTCCACTGCTACCAACTGGTGCTGGACTGAGTGGCCCATACAGATTACTTATTCTTTTTACAGACCTAAGTGAAAATCCCCTCAAGCAAATTCGTATTCAAATGATCTAGCAATAAACATTACTTTTGATTGGTTTCCAGTAACAGGATGCACAGAAACAAGAAGTCTCCATGAAGCTTCAGAGAGGGATTGCAGAGGTGCTAACCAACTTCATCAATCAATTATCCATGTTTAAACACTGCCTATAAACGTTTGTAAGAGCCAAGAAGAGCATTGCAGTTCGGACAGGTGTGATCTACATCCTTTAGGGCATCGATGCAGAAGGGAATTAAGCAGCAGCCTGCTATACACCTGCAAAGAAAAGAGAAAAAACACTGTTTTTCCACTTGTTACATACACAGGAAGGTACAACCCATTTCCTTCAAAAGCCATCAGAAAAACTGGTGCTATGAAGCTTTAGGAAGAACACACTTGGCTGTGAAGTCCATTGCTCCAGTGTTCCAGAGCTGCTCTGAGGTCCTAGAGCACCTAAATGCAGATGGAAGCTGTTCAAACCACAAAGGCTCAGGCCCCAGACAGAGTGAGAGAGCAAAGCTGAGAGCTCTGTTACTCTTTAGAGCTATGAAGTGTCAGGTAAGTAAAACAGTGAAAACTGAATGAACCTACCCCACCAGGCAGAGGCCACCACATGAGAGCCAGGTCAGAGCTCCTGCGTCGTAGGAGAGACGAGTCACTATCATCTGGTTGCAGGAAGGGCAGCACATCTGAATGGGACGGTCATAAAACACCACTGGCTGCTGCACATACACTGTCTGAACTGTAACTGGGCAGAGAAACATGCTGGTTACTCAAGGGGTAAATAAGGAAAACAGAATAGTAATAACTTCCTCTGAGCTAGAAGCAGCTATAACTTGGAGACTTGGGCTCAGTGCACTGAAATACACAATGACCAAGGGCAATCACCATGGCATTTCCTAGTGCAGAAACACACCATTTTAAGGATAATACTGCATTAAAAACTGCAGGAAGCCAAATGATGTTACTGATATTAGTGCACACTGAAGGCTTCATGAGAACTGATTCACCTTACTCCCTTCCAAAGTGTTTTTGGAAGGTGGTGGACACCTGTGAACCATGATGTCTTATTTTCTGCACAGCACCTATTGCACAGCCACTTGGCACCTCCTTTACATGAGGCACAGAAGAGTTTTTGAGGCTTACCAGGGTTAGTGGCTGGTGGAGGCTGTCCCATGTATGGGGGAGGGTTCATTCCCTTCCCATCTGGCTTAGGTCCAGGGTCAGGGACAGGATAGGGGTGAGGATAGTTCATGTTGATTCCTACAGTTTCCTCATAAGAAGGAGGTGCAGATGGGACAGGGTTACCACTCGGTGCAGACATTGTATCTAAAACATAACAGAGAGAAAATTATAACCAGAGACTTTTATTTATTAAGGGCAAGTGACAAATAATTAGGCTCAGTTCAAAAACAGTAAAATAACTAGATTAAAATGGACTTTTACCAGCATAAAATTTATTGGCTGATACTTGTTGCTGACAGTATCAAATGTTAATCTGAATTTCATTGTTGTTGTCCACTTCCCACTTCCTTTTCAGAGGGTACTTCTTACACTATTTCCCAACACCAATTCTTCCTATAAATTAAACATGCTAAAACAGGGATGTGGGGCAACGTTATTAGTATACTAACCTATCTGGTAGTCTCCAAATTCTCCAAGAACACTATTTCTGATCCCTCTTGTTCACCTGAAAAATCAAACATACGATCAAAAATAGGCTACATGGTAGTTGCTAACCAACATGAGCCTGGTTTGTGGTGAAGCTCAAGTATTTAAAAATACTATCTATCTCTGCTGTGATTTGAAATAAAAAGCATATTGAAAGAAAAAGAAACATAAACAAGTATATCCAACTCAAAGCTTTGACAACTCTCAGATAAGTCTAAGGTTGCCAATTTTGCTGCTTAGCAAACTTTTAATGAGTTTATTAATGCAACTTTCCTCCACCAATTGTTGTCTCATTGCAGAGTATAAGAAAGCTGACCACTGCCCTTTCCCAAAGTGGGGAGAAACAACTGTGATTTCAGTGCAGACTTCCTCTTCTCCTCCCTGCCTACCCACTTCCCACACTCTGCCACTTTCTTTCTGGAGCAATCTCTCATGGCAGCAATGCTGACTGAGTACCTCCCTGTTTCTCTTCCTCCTAAGGGCCATCAGAGCTCCAAGAGCCACACTTCCTTCTGTTGCTGCTCATAGGATCCCTCTGGGTACATTCAAGTCTTCTCACTCAGTACTATCTGGGAAGGGCAACCTGTACTTGGAATATTAATTCTATGATGCTATGATAGTAATACAGAGCCTACAATTACTCATAGCACTAGTATGAATAAAAGAAGAGAAACTGCATTGATGAGGGGGATGAAAAGAAAAAATTATGTTAAATACAAATGCTCACAACAATACAGAATTACTTTCAAAGCTTGTTGCTGGGTATATGGAGTGTCTTGTGCTGCGAGACAACAGACACCCTCAGCTCAACCATCCTCCCCACTGTTCCCACCACATCTTGGGACACCACTGCACTGCATGGGAGTACCAGCACCTAGACATACACAACTTAGCTACCTTGGTACTCACATGCTTCAGGAAACTGTGTGCAAGGTTCCCAGCCCGACTTTGCTGTCCTAAAGTGGGTTCTTTCACCTGGTGTGCAGGAGGCCAATCCCCACAGAGCTGAGGTGTGTGATTTATTTACAGTCCTGCACACAAAGGGGTGTGGGGTGGCAAATCCACAAAGCAGCACAGTGACTATCAGGACTGCTCATATTTAGCAAACAGGGGTATTAATGTTCATTGGCTACATGTTACATAGTTACATTAGCATTCTGCCTTCTATTGGTTAATGACTCCCTCAGTTCTTATGCTGATCAGTCCACATGCTCAGCCCTTCTCTCTGGGGTCGGTGGGTTTCTGGGAGCTGGAGCTCGGTGGGTCAGTGGTTGTGATCTCCCCGTGCTGGGATCACCCAGTCAGAGCTGATCCAGCACAGTTGCTGAGTTGGCTTTGTTAGTTTCTTCCTTATCTTGGGAGTTCTGCAAAAGTCCCTGTGGCCTGTAAGTTCTGCATTCTTTGGGTCCACTATCAGTAGTACATCCTTTTCCCCAAGCTTTGTTCACCTCCCCCTAGGTCTGAGATCACTGAAGCATTAAGCCCTAAATTTTAACAAGGCAATTCTACCAACAAGTAATTTATCTTTCTAACACCTTGACATCAACTGCTTTTTCTACCTTACACAAAAATGACACCTCCTCCCAAAAGTAAAACAAAGAACAATGTGGTTAAGTGCAGACAAAAGCTGATTTAAAGCTCTAAAAATCAAAGTTCAGGCCTGGTTAAACTTTGAAGGCCAACCTGTGAACAAACCTCTCCTCACAAGCTATGCTGTGGATTTTTAGCATCCACAAAGTTAGCTGAAACTTGGCTGCCCAACATGTAGAGCCACTACAGAGAAGGACAAGGAAGAGAGAAGAATGAGATTAACATTGTCCACAAAGACTCTGATGGCTTAAAAAAAAATAATCTCTCAAGGAAGCAACCCAACCAACCAGAAGAGAGAAGAATGAGATTAACATTGTTCACAAAGACCCTGATGGCTTAAAAAAAAAAAAAAAGTCTCCCAAGGAAACAACCCAACCAACCCAAAAAAACCCCAAACTAACCATGATTATTAAGAGTTCTGGGGTATCAAACTTACTCAATCTTGAGATAATAACTGCAGTAAATTGAAATGGCAATAAGCATTAACCCAAGGACAAGATAGTAAGGAAACAAAGGCAAGAGAGATGTTCTAGAAAGAATTGACAGCTTTTTTTCTTAGCTTAGACAAGACAGAGCCTGGGTTAATAAGTAAACTTCATGTTATACATCCCTATGCAAATTCTTAAGGCACCAATAAACCTTCTATACTTTCCATTTGCACTTTGCTCCCTGCAAATGGGCAGAGAGCAGCTTATAACTTTAATCAGAACATGTGTTACAGCTACATTGTTAAATGAAATACAGACATGTCTGGGAAAAGCAACTCATGCATAATGCCTGACTGCAAAGGGAACAAAATATTAATATCACAGCAATATTATAGTATCATATGATGATATAATATCATTAATAAACCAGCCTCAGGTCATATAAAAAGTGATACAGAACCTTATGCATCCATATAGAACAGGTAAGACTTGAGTTTGTAACACCTTAACAAACTGTACCCAGCTACTCAGGAAACACCAGAAATGTACCCACTCACTCTACTAATGAACAGCCACATAACTAAGCCGATGGCAGAAACAGAAAGCAAAACCACAAGTTTTATCTCACCAAGCAGACTCTCAAATGCTGCTCCCAAGAAATTCACAAGGACTGCCTGGTGACAGGTACCCGACTGCACAGAAAGATAAGATGGGAACAGGGAAGTCAAATGTACCCAAAAGTTCTCTGGAGGTAGCCCAAACGCAAACCATAAGGCAACAGCTATCTCAAACCTGGATCTGCAAACACTGAAAGACCAGAAAGCACACTAAATCCAAGAAGTGTGACACTGACACACAAGTAGCTTCCATTTACACCCAAAGTTTCAGATCCAAACACCACTAAGCACAGCAAACTGAGCAGCTCCAGCTTCTGTTCCCAGACTCTCCCTACTCTACTCCCAGCCCAACCACCTTCTCCTGGATAGAGTGTCCTTCACATACTCCCACTGCCCAAGCCTATTACAAGGACATTACCTAAGCAGGACTCAAAGTGGTACAGAGTACAGCACAACCTGCACTGGGCAGGGAGAGAAATAATGGGGGAAAAATCTCAAGCACTAAGAAAATTTTAAAAAGAGGTTTGACTTACTTGGGTTGTTGCACTTTCGTTACACGCAGCAGAAAGTTGCTGACCACAGATGACTCTGGTATCTGATCTTTCAAGGCCAAAAAAACACCCACTGGGAATACCACCAGAATCTGTAGGCAACACAAAGAACAGTTCAGTTGGAAGGAAACAGAAGCTACAACTGGACAATTTTTACTAAAATCAGACAAAAGGAATGGTAAACATGCCAGATAATAATGCAGAATTTCCCTGTTGGGAGCATAGCTGACTCTAAATAATTCCATAACAGGAACAGAAGTAGGAAACACACTTTGGAATGGAAAGGTGCAACAGAAGACAAAGCCTAAATAAATAAAATGACTCTATAATAACCCAGAAAACCTGACCATGTCTCTCAAGTCAAAAAGCCCTTTCAGCACCTGAAAGAGACCCACAGAGAACTTTGCAGGTAGAAGCGACAACATACAAAGAGAAAGAATTTCAGGCTGAAGTATCTGATAAGGGCTGGAGTCACTCCATCCACACAAAGTATGGCTAAGATCCAGCACACCAGCTTCCCAACAATGACACCAGCCTTTTTGCTTTCCTGGAGCATGGAAAAGTCTCTGAAATGCTGCTGATTAGCTTGGTTACACAACACAGCTCTCACCAGGATTTCAGTGAAGTCTATAAACATTTCTACAAAGAACTTGTCACAAATTTGTCCTCTCTTCCACATCCCACAGGACTAATCTGCTGCACTGGAGGCATGGTAATACAGCAGCAAACCTAATGTTTATACACTTCAGTAGTCCCACACTCTTCCCAGTGGACTAAGCAGAAATGTGGAAAGGTGTGGGTTTCCCAGCAGCCACGTAGCCAGGACAAACAGAGGAGCTGGGACAGGACAGGCGTGGCTCCAGCAGCAGGATGTACGCAGGAACAGTAACTGTGGTAACCTGAGCACAGACACTGCTCTTTCCCACCATTCTCATACACCGCAGCTTTGCACTCTGAAGAGGGAACACGACAGCAGTCTAAATGTCTAGATCAGTAAGTTTTTTAGTATTTTTTGTAGTAGCAAATATTCCACAGCTATACTTTTAGAAACCACCGACCTCCTGTTTTCTCTTCCCCATGGGACTATACTTCAGAGCTGAATCATGACCCACTGTCCCGTCACAGGGGCTGGGACAGCTGACCCCGTCTGACTAAAGGGATATTCCAGACCACACAGCACCACAGCCAGCAACAAAACTGGGGCAAAAGTTGTCAGGAGGGAAATGCTGCTCAGGGACTGTCTGAACTGCTGGTGGTGAGCAAGTGTTCTCATCGCTTGCTGCATTTCATTTCTCTGATATCTTCCTTTTCATTACAACTATTACTATTTTATTTCAATTATGACACAGTTTTTATCTCGACTCGAGTTGTCTCACTTTTACCCCTCCAGTTCTCTTCACCCCATCCCCCAGCTCAGCTGTCAGCTGGGGTTACACCACAACACTGAGCTACTTCAGCTGTGCAGGC